TTTTTTTTTTTTTTTCTTTTCGATTCTCCTTTTCTTTCGGATCCGTCGATGCAACTGGCTTACTACCGGGGATGATTCCAGAGTATGATCGTCTGATCATAACCGCGGAAAACACCCACCCCACATAGCTCAGAGTGTGTGGACATACTTTAGAGTTTAGGCCGAGAAGGGGCTTCGATGGGTTTGATGCCCTTGCTTCGATGGTTGGAGCGATCGGCGTAAGGTTTGGCCCAGTCTGGGAGCCTGTCAGAGCTGTCAGAGACCTGGATGACAATTGTTGAACCACTTATTGCTTGTTGTTGGGGGCGTGGTGCTTGGTACAGTACAGTAACTTTCCCTTGCGTTGGCATCAGTTAAACCCAATCGATCGGCTCAACACCAGGCCCGGTTGATCGGGGGCCTGGATATTGACTGGAAGGAATATCTACAACCATTCGACCGAGTGGTGCATTTGAACATCATTAACAACCACACAATACAATCAAAGAATTGGAGATAAATATTGCCGGGCGCTTGTCAACTTTCAAGACCTCTCGGCTCGGCGCGAGCGATCATTACCGGATCTTCTGGTTTAGCGAAGGGGCCATACCTCGCACTCGCTACCGCAAATACGACGAATGAATACGGGCGGGGAGAACAACGGAGAGTTGAGCAAAAATCGTAAAGGGACCAGGACCGAAACTTGCAAGACCTCAATGTATTTGAGTATGCAAGTAATTGATTGTCCCAGGAACATTAGCTGATCGATCTCGATGTAGAACTTTGGCAAGAATGGCCCTCCGAAACGCCTCTCTATGGAGGACTTTGAGATCCTACCAGATCTACGGAGCGAATACCAATGTCGGCAAAACCATCTTGTCCACAGTCCTCTGCAAGGCCTTCGCCCGGAAGTATCCAAGTGAAGCAATGTGGTACCTGAAGCCCGTATCAACCGGACCCCTAGACGAAGCCGACGACCGGCATCTGGCTCGCTTCTCCCCCGAGACCAGAACCCACTGTCTCTTCCAATTCGACGAAGCCGTCAGCCCTCATATTGCAGCGCGCTCAGCCAAGGTGAATGAATCCCCATCCGTATATGAAAAGACGGGTCTAATCACGTAAGAAGCCACTCCCAGACTCGGAGATCCAAGAGCAAGTACTGAAGCATCTTACATCGTGTGCACAGTCGGGACCAGGCACAATCCTGGTGGAGACAGCCGGAGGTGTTCATTCTCCTACACCGAGCGGAAGCTCTCAAGCAGACCTTTTCAGACCGCTGAGGCTGCCTGTGTGCTTGGTGGCCGACCATCGACTGGGTGGCATCTCCGCATCCATCTCGGCCTTCGAGTCGCTGCACATCAGAGGCTATGACTTAGTCCTCGTGCTGCAATTCGAGGAGTCCAAGTACCAAAACCATGACTACCTCACATCTTATTTTGAAAAGAAAGGGGTGTTGTCGCTAGCACTGCCCTTACCGCCCCCACAGGGGAAAACGCAACAAGAAGACGTCGAGCGCATGTTGGAGTATTACCTCAGAACCAGCGAGCTCCCCATCGTCGACGAGACCATCGACCTCCTCGCCGAAAAGCATACCTCGCGTATCCAATCTCTCGAGACGATGTCACGCCAGGCTCATCAGAACATATGGTACCCCTTCACCCAGCACACAGACGTGTCCCCGAACACTATCACAACCATCGACTCTGCCTCCGGCGACTTCTTCCAAACACACGTGGCCTCCTCCTCCTCCACAGACCGGGAGACCATCCTAGCACCCACCTTTGACGGGAGCGCAAGCTGGTGGACTCAGGGTCTCGGGCACGGCATTCCAGATCTCTCCCTGGCGGCAGCTTACGCAGCAGGTCGCTTCGGACAGTAGGTCACGGGGAGCCCGTCTTTTCCTTGTCCAGGACATCTGATCCATCTCAAACCCTCTCCTCTCGAAAGCTTCTGGAATTAACCAAAGACTAACTCTCCCGTGTCCTCCCAGCGTCATGTTTGCCGGCACCGTCCACGAGCCGGCCCTCAAGCTCACCCAGACCCTCCTCCAGAACCTCCACAACCCCCGACTCGCCAAAGTCTTCTTCTCCGACAACGGCAGCACGGGCATGGAGGTCGCCACGAAGATGGCCCTGACGGCCTCCTGCGCTCGCTACGGGTGGTCCGCGCCCGAGACGCAGTCCGCTGTGGGCGTGCTCGGCTTGAAAGGGAGCTACCACGGTGACACGATTGGCGCCATGGACTGCTCGGAGCCGAGTCTATATAACGAGAAAGTGCACTGGTATCAGGGGCGCGGGTACTGGTTTGACTTTCCGCAGGTGAAGATGGTGAAGGGGGTGTGGCGTGTGGAGCCGCCGAAGGGCATGGAGAAGGAATTTGGCGAACTCGAGACGTTTGGTGAACTCGCTGAGATCTTTGATGTTGAGGCTCGCTTAAAGACGAGCCCGGGTCGCAAGTATCAAACGTTTATCGAAGAGAAGCTGAAGAAGCTTGTGAATGAGGAGGGAATGAGATTTGGTGCTTTGATTATGGAAGTAAGAAGCATATGCCAGGATGTAGATGCCGATACTGACAGCATTGCAGCCCGTGATCCTCGGAGCCGGTGGGATGCTCTTCGCGTAAGTCCAAACAACGACCCCGTTGTTTATTCATGGCGCTCGCTAAACATGATCAGCGACCCCCTATTCCAACACACCCTCGTGGAAGTAGTCCGCGCCAGCACCAACCTCTTTGGCACCACGGCACCCCTTACCCAAGCCGCCAACACTTGGACCGGCCTCCCCGTGATCTTTGACGAAGTCTTCACGGGCCTATATCGCCTCGGCCGCTTCAGCTCCGCCTCCTTCCTCCAGGTCCAGCCCGACATATCCACACATGCGAAACTGCTTACCGGCGGCCTCGTACCACTATGTACGACGCTTGCGAGTGAAGCCATCTACGAGGCATTTCTTGGAAGCGAGAAGAGGGATGCATTGTTGCATGGGCATAGCTATACTGCCCATCCGGTGGGCTGTCATGTTGCGAACACGAGTCTGGATATGATGCTTAAGATGGAGAAGGGGGAGAATTGGAAGCCGTTCAGGGATGATTGGCAGGGTCCTGCTCTTGAAGCGGAGAGGACGGGAAGCCAGTCGCCGAGATATGGGAAGACTGATGTGTGGAGCTCGTGGTCGAAAGAGTTTGTTGAGAAAGTCTCACATCGGAAGGAGGTCGGGAGTGTTATTGCTTTGGGATCTGTGCTTGCTATCAGCTTGCAGGATGCCAATGCTGGTAAGCTGACTCAACAACGAGGTTCGATGACGAATATGTGACTGACTTATATGATGATTAGGCTACAGTTCAACTGCCGCCACAGGTCTTCAGAAGAAGCTGTTTCAAGGGTCCGCAGATTTTGATGTCCATGTAAGAGTACTTGGCAATGTGCTTTATCTGATGGCAAGCCAGACTTCGAAGCTCGAGATACTGCGAACTATTGAGAAAAAAATTCTAGCTGAGTTGATATAAATAATGCAGATAAATTGTGCAGAGGCAAAAGTGACGGTGAACAAACAAAAACAAAACACGAAGTCCAACGTGATACAAAATAATGCTTTCGTTCCGGTATTGTAAACACTCTGCCTTATCTTAATCATTTAATACGATATTTTTAACTTATTTATAACGATTTGATTTTCATTGTATTCGATTCTTAAGATACGGTTTCTTTAAAAATCCGCTAGAACTAGATCAATAGCTCGTTGCGCTCGCCGCATAGCTCGAGAAATAGTTCTCGTCATTTTATTTCGATCTTCCGCGGATAATAATAATTGTCACTAACGGTGACCCAAGATAAATTCCAAGGGTTATGGTGGTGATTAGTTATTCAATCACGTGAGATTATTTATACCGATCTGACAGGATTTCTAAGCAATGCTAAGAGAAATGTCGGCAGATAATTCTAGATTTCGGAAAGGGTCGGCTCGAATTAAATATGTCTTATAGCTAAGCTTAATTCAGTCACCGCTATTAATTCTGCTATACGTAACGCACGTCGCTGCTACACGTAACGTACGTAAAGCTGCTATACGTAACTTACGTAAGGCTGCTATACGTAACTTACGTAAGGCTG